ATGCTTTCGGAGTTCTAATGAAAAATGTTATCACTGTTTGTTTATTTCGTCGGTAATGTTTCTTATCAACTACTTACTTAGTAAGTTACTTAAGTAACTTTAAGATTTTGTCGTTTTTAGTTTTAAGAGAACTTCTGTTTAGGAAAATTTTACTTAACAATATATCACACAAAAAATTTAATATGTAATGAATATATTATATATGTATTACATATTTAATTAATAAAAATACAGATTTTATTAAATACTCACTTTCGCAGTACATTTGTTTATAGCTCAGCTGTTGTTTGTTTACATCTCATATATAATACATATGACAAATATCTCAAATTTCGGTAATTTCCCTTGTGGGAAATTTATTTTTAAATGTAAACGCATTCGAGATCGTTCACCTTAAACAGTTGGTTTGTTTATAATGAATTCATATATATAGCTCTTTGGTAACTTATCTTTATCATCGGCCTTAATAAGCTAAACTGCCTAAATGAAATAGTAGAAACATTTGACTATAGGTCTGTTCCACTAAATACTAGTAGTAACTTTGAGTAATACTGTGTGTACACAAGTGTGTTCCACTAGCAAATTTTCGAGTAAATGAGACTTTACTCGTACATTTTAATCCAAGTAAAATTTGTGTTGATGTGTCAATCAGCTGTTTTGGTTTGAATTCAAATTTTTGTATTGCTTATTTGCACGGCACTGGTGTTCTCACCAGACTTTACGCAAAGCTGTTCTACGAAAATCTGTGTACAGAACGTAATTTGGCACTTTATTTGTGTTACACTCTCCGTTTGTACTTTACTTGTGTTTTACTAGAGTTTTACTAAGATTAGCTAGTGGAACAGACTTTAAATATAATACACATACAATAATATAAAAGATATGGTAACACTACTTTTTTCTAAGTGTGTGGTGGCGTTATTTTGGATTCACACGAGAGTTTAGTTTGTAATTTTAACTGTCAAAAATTTTCATTTTGCATTGAAACCAACGACAATTAAAACTTATAGTTGAACTAAAAAAACAAAAAGAAATGCGTTTTATATATAATAAATGTTTAGTTGTAGTATTTATTTTATTAATTGCAATATAATATTTATGGTAATATAATACTTAACTCATTTTCGTGTTTATCTCGATAAGCATTAAGGGCTTAGTAACATTTGCTCTACAAAATTCGTACAAAATCCACGCAAAAATGTGCGAGATAAGCGCTTATATATTTTTTAAGTCCTTTGGCTTAGTCAATGCTGCCTCTCAATATTCCAACGTGGTAATTATGGAAACAAAATAAATTTCAAGCAGAACCATATGATAAATAAAATCGATTTACTTTAATAAATTCAAAATAGAAATACAGAATTTTTAAAAACTTAATAAATTCATTACGAAAAATCTCTACACAATGAGGAAATAAGCTTTAAAAATAGAAAAGTAAATATTTACACGTTTTGTCAAACAGAAATTGTTGATCCATGTAAGAAAAACATAGATCAACAATTGCACGTTTGCAATATTATGCAAACCGCTTCTATATAGTTTACTAAGTGACCCATTGCACGGACTTGTTGAAGTAAACTTATTGACTTATTGAAGTAAGTCCGTGCAATGTTCACATCATTGGCTAAAGACCATTACCCATTACTGAACGATGAACAGTGTATAACTTTATATAATTTCATTCACTGTATTTTATTTCTGTATTGAGTTCAAAACATAAAAAATATTTTCACGAAAATGAATATTGCAAATAGCACAATTACACTATCTCATTTAGACGATTTTGCTCATTACTCATTGCAAATTCTCTTCTGGCAATGCTAATAGAAATAAACTCTTGATTTCCCTGCATAAATATTTCCTGCTTGGTAATACCTTTGTACTTCTATGTTTTTCTTTCCACTTACGGCGGTGTTCTAGGTGTTCGTTCTAATAAGCATTTTGTATGAAAATCTTATTTGTTTTAAATTTTAATATCTTCGAGGTACGATATTTACAACTTTTTTGTCACATTCTTATATTAATTATATTTCAGATGCCCCCTGTTCGAAAAAATGAAAGTCCGGATTTACATATGTCAAAATCTGGTCGTAAAGAACCTTTCCATGGAATTGTGGAAAAAACAAATCTCATGGCAAACGCTAAGTCCACATCTCAAAATGAGCCACCAAATCACACCGACCTGACTAGCGACTCTAATGATGGTGCTACGCAAGTACAGCATGATCAGACACAAACAGATGAAAACGAAGCATTTACGGCGCTTCTAAAGGCTGAACAAAAGAAATTTGCAAAGATTCAGCGTGACATTTGGAATATCAGAAAAAAAAGAATAGCATTGCAACCGAAGGGAGATTATTTAGTATCGGAAATTAAGAACAAATTGCAACAAATGAAGGAATTGATGAATGAATTAAGTGAATAATTTTTGCTAATTAATAAATGACATTTTGTACGCTCCTCAAGTGAGTCAAAATCAAAATTAAACATAAAGTAGTGAATAAAAGATTTTCATTCTTACACTATTCAAATACTCAATGTATTAAATCTTAAATAAATTGCTATAT